TTTTCACATGTTTTTGTTAAAACCGGCAACAGTGTCTAAAATGTAATGACAGGCCTGGTCCCTTGAGAAGGAAGGAAGAGAGTCGCTATTTGTATGTCGAATAATAAAGTTCAGTTCAATCGACGCTATTTATTTATCACTATACCAGCATTATTAACAACTGAAAATTCGACATCAATTTATTCAATTCAATTATTCAAACACTAGGCCTTCTCCGCCGACTTCTTTTCCTCTTCACTGACAATTTTGCTGGGACCGCCTGCCCGGTATTGACGATGCCCAATAGGCTGAAACAGCTGTCTACCGGTGGCTCATAAATTGAAATCAATATGGAAATGATCAGAAAGTACTTATCTATTCATATTTTGATTTTTATGGAATTATTTTCCAGCAGCTTGACTGCATTAACCTTTCTCAATTTAATATCATTCCTAGAAACATGTGGATTCGTTTTCCGATGGCATTTCAGGTTAGCTTCTCAATTTTCTGCTACCGCAGTTGTCGTTTGATTGGTCAAGCCACCAACACTGACATGAAAATTTGTCAAGTTGACTTGGGTGTCACACCAATAGGTGGTTCCACTTATGTTTCGCTTGCGTTTACGCAGCTATTCTAGGCTGAAACAGCTGTCAACCGGTGGCTCTTGAAATGAAATCAATATGGGAATGATCAGAAAGTACTTATCGATTCATATTCAGATTTTTATGGAATTATTTTCCAGCAGCTCGACTGCGTTACCCTTTCTCGATTTAATATCATATCCAGAAACATGTGGATTCATTTTCCGATGGCATTCCAGGTTAGCTTCCCAATTTTCTGCTACCGCATTTGTCGGTTGATTGGTCAAACTACCAACACTGACATAAAAACTTGTCAAGTTGACTTGGGTGTCACACCAATAGGTGGTTCCACTTATGTTTCGCTTGCGTTTACGTAGCTATTTTTATCAAGTACTTTCTTGGTTTNATCGATGATGCGGTTTCTTAAGTCTTCTACATCGCAAACAGGAGTACGATAAACCAAATGGTGTAAATGGCCCCAAATAGAGAAATCGAGAGGATTGAGATTTGGAGTTCTGTGGTCCTTGTTTTGTTTATGGTTTTTATACCATAATTATGTTCTTTTTGAATAAAAACGCAATATATTGAAAATAATGTAATGAAACATATTACATGTTTCCATCTAGACAACTCAAGTAATAGTGATTTAAGATAACAAAATAACTATCTGCCTTCAGGTACAAAACCCTACTTGTTCTTGAAACTCGGGTACTTGGCAAGGGCTGTGACGATCGAGTTCTTAGAATTTATTAGTCGGGTGCGACTAGACAACACGATAGTCCCATGAATATAGGCACATTTGACGTAACAAGTATGGCGCGCAGTACCTAACAAGCCCTAGAGAAAAGCACCATATTAACATTTGTTCTCGGAAAATTGGAGAACTTGCTGAAATATTGGTTGAAATCAAAAAACTTCATCCCTCCGTGAAAAATTTGTATGATGCCTTGCAGCCAGTATATTTTGACTCATTTGTTGCAGCAACAAAATCAATATCTAGATTTGATGAGTATGGATCTGCAACTTTCGCAATGAATTTAGCAAGATCTCTGAAAGAATGTTGTAGTTTAGCTATAAGAATGATCTTGAAAAAAAGATCATACAACTCTACTATTGATACGGCCGAACTTGAGGCTAATTTCAAAACTTTCCAACAACTTCTTATTGATTCTTGGAAATTTGAAGTCTCTTCAGTGGCAGCTTCATGTCTCGATACCAGAAAGTTATCTTTTGGAGAAAGCCCAATTAGCAGTGTGCTAATTAGGCTATTTTGGAAGTGTGCTGTAGCCGATCAATGTTACTAAATCGGAAACGTATGCCTTTGCATTTATATCAAAATGCTCCAAAGCATCAATCATATGAGGAATTTGATTATGCGATTTCACAAACAGAGAAAATTTATGATGAAAAAATTCAAACGGGTTGTAACTAGAGAAAAACGTGATCGCGGTGTTCCTGTTTCGTGCATTAAAACATGACACGCCCATAACAGGATACAAGGTGATGCAGAAACATGCAAAACTTAGTGTGGCAAAAAATCCAGAAGCGATCACTTCTACAAGGTTGAGAAAACATCTTGCCACTATGAGCCAGATACTTGAGTTATCTCCAAACGATATAGAACAATTGGCCACATTCATGGGTCATACTACAGATATACACAAACAGGTATATCGCTTGCCTGATGATGTTTTTCAGACCGCGAAAATTACCAAACTTTTACTTTTGATGGAGAGTGGCCAGGCAGGTCTATATAAAGGAAAGAGTTTGAATGAAATAGATCTAGACATGGAAGAAAATGTGAAAGAGGATTCGTAAGATGAAGAGGAAAATGAAGAAATATTATTAGAACAGCAAGCTCCATTAAGTTTTATTCGGCCACAAAATGAAAGAAAACTGGTTCCTTGGACAACAAATCAGAAAAATCTGACGATATCCTATTTTAGAGACCACATAACAAATAAAGTGCCATCAAAAAAGGAAAATGCAAAGATTTGAAACTGGTCTATCCTGGGGTTTTTGATAATAAACAGTGAAAACAAATAAAAGTTTTTATTCAAAACGCTTATCGTAAACAATAATACTGTTTTCCAAAATGAAAAAAAATGTATTCTTTTGAGTTTGAATGTTTAATAGAAAAATAAAAATTTACCTTCATTTGTCTGAACTGCAATTCAAAAAGCTATAGGATAAAAAGGTATAGTATTGCTTTTCTTTCCTCAAAATATTCTTCTGATATTTGTCCTCTTTATTGAAAAATCAGTTGTTACATAGAGTGGCGGACAGTGTATATCACTTTGGCCAACCCCATTCAGGTGGTAGGTGCATTTTGAGCATTTCCATCAGTCCTGAGAGTTTCATCGTTCCACCTCGAATATTACGGAAGATACGGGGGTGTTTCCATAAGAAGTGACACAAATTCGGACTAAAATTTTTTCAGGAAAAAAGTGTATCCTTAGTAAGTTGGTAGTACTGATCACGAATCTGAAGGAATTTTGAGCCTATTTTGCCCCCTAATATGTTTTAACGTAAAAATGGGGTGTTCCGTCGCGAGTGACGGACAGTGTATATCACTTTGGCCAACCCCATTCAGGTGGTAGGTGCATTTTGAGCATTTCCATCCGTCCTGAGAGTTTCATCGTTCTACCTCGAATATTACGGAAGATACGGGGGTATTTCCACGCAAGCGCAAGCGAAACTTAAGTGGGAATAATCGAGGAGTACTTATCTATTTATTTTTTGATTTTTATGGAATTATTTTCCAGCAGCTTGACTGCTGGAAAATATTTTTTTGCGTCATATATAACCGGCAACCCTGAAAGGTATTCTGCTATAAATGGTTTTAATATTTTTGTGTCATGAAATTTCAATTAGGTATATGTTCTCCTTAAAAATTAACTCAGATTTAAATGATATATTTTTCAGGATTTTAGATTAACAAACATCCAAGATGACAAGAGGCAAAAAAATATTAGAACAATTGAGGAAGCTAAGTGAGCCTTCTTGTATATTGGGTGAGTAGAACATTTCAAATGTTAAGAGTTCAATGACTTTTTTTTTTGTTAGGTCAGGGCTAACTCAATTTGAGAGTGGAAATTCACAATTGTGTGTTTTAAATTGAAAAAGTAGACTTTCAATAAAAATGAAAAAGGAATATATCACTGAATTAAAACGTTTGCTGGACAATGTTTCTTGGTGAATACTGGAGGTAATTTTCAATTTTAAAATTACATTTCGGCTGGACATTGAATGATTTTTGAATAAATAATATTTCAATTGAAAATATTTGTTTTTAATAAAAAAAGTTCCTCTTGATTCCCACGCATCAAAATAATATTCTGTATTATTTTTTATACAGTGTCAGTGTCAAGTATGCACCATATGGTATGCACCTTATTTATTAAGGGTTTTTCGACAAAAAGTTATTTTTGATAAAAGATTGTGCATCCCATAAAACTAAACATGCACCAACGAAATTTAGTAAAACACACGTAATATACGAGGAGGCTTTAAATATTTGATTTCAAGACAAGAGTAAAGTAGGTACTCTCATTTTGAAAAAATATCGGGAACTGTTATTCAGAGTTGTTCAGCATTGAAAAATACATCTAGATTTGAAGTCATGACCATCTAAGTGAAGTTTTATTTTTTTACCCATTTTTTTAAAATGGGGACTACGAAAAAAAATTTTTCTAAAACGATAAATTCCTGTACACGACGGTTCATTTTAAAAGCCTGCAATATTACAAATTACACAACTATGGTGTTAACCGGGGTCAATTTTTTTGAAGAGTAAAATAATTTTTTTGTTAACACCGAAAATTACTGAAAATTATATAGGTATTTTAGAAAAAACTCATTGATTTTCCGGAGATTATTTTGGAGAATTATTTTGATGTTTTGTGCTTTGATATTATTGAATATTAAGTCCTTGCTACAATACAGTATAATTTTGAGGATGCTGTCTATCGTTTTAACAATTTTTTTTCGGAGACCCCATTAAAAAAAATGGGTAAA